TACAGCCTCCCCCTATAGAAACGCAGAACCGTCAGAAATTTTTTGGACTAAGTTCTTCCAGAAAAACAAAATATCCTAGGTAATTTATATCCATTAGTTTAACTATGATCCAACTATGATCCTACAAAAATTTCTAAAACTATAACCTTCATTAGATCTAAATTCAACATAAACTTGTATGTAATTATTTTCAAGTACAAATAACATTCTAGTAGAAATATACCTGACTAGTTTGGCAACTGTAATATATTATACACATGTACACTCCTGTAGTAACTGTATCCTCTTTCAACCACCAGGGGTTTTCTTTTTTGATTGGTTTGGAATTTCTTCACTTTAAGGAAATATATTAGATAACTACTGTTAACTTTTGTAAGAAAAGATTTGTCAAGAATAGGACATTTTTAGAAAACCTTCCATGATAAACAAAAGTTAAAAGAATTTGCAAATAGAAAGCTTGTACTGCAGAACATTCTCAACAACATATTCCATGAAGATGAAATGAAAAAAAAAGTGAAAACAAGCAAAGGAAGGAACTACACTAAAGGTTTAGTCAATCAAAGTCTCCTTTTAATTTAAATTAAAAATTAGAAATAAACCCAAATAACCAGATATACAAATCATATTTCAATAATAACCTTGAATGTTAATGACCTAACCTCATCCATCAAAAGACACAGACTGGCAGATTGGATTAAAAAGCAAGACCCAACAATATGCTTTCTCCAAGAGACTCATCTCATAGGCAAAGACATCCACAGAGTGAAGGTGAGAGGACTGGAAAAAACATATCACCCGCATGCATTGGAAAAACAAGCAGGGGGTTCTATCTTCATATCAAATAAAGTTAACTTTAAGCCAAAGTTAATCAGAAGGGAAAAATATGGACATTTCATACTGCTTAAGGGAATTATACACGTCAAGAAGACATAACAATTGTAAATATTTATGCCCCCAAACAATGGAGCATCTATGTACATCAAACAAACCCTTTTCAATTTCAAGGACCAAATATACCACAGCACAACAATACTGGGTAAGTTTAAGATGGCTCTGTAGCTCCTGGATAGATCCTCCAAACAAATACTAAATGAAGAAGCTCTAGAAGTAAAAAAATACAATTGATAATCTAAACTTAACAGGCATATATAGAATATTTCATCCATCAATGACTGAATACACTTTCTTCTCAGCAGCACACAGATCCTTCTCTGATACAGACCATGTTATATAAGCTACCACACACGTTGGCATACAATTATGATATTACTTTAATATATTTTTAGCATCTGTAGGGTTATTTTGATAGCTCCCTTTCCAATGATATTAATTTTTGTATTCTTGATTTTCTCTTGATTAGATTTGTTTATTTTTTAATCAATTTTAGCTATATTGTTTCTTCTGTATTTCATGTACTTTTGTTCCTACTCTTTTTTTCTTCCAATAAATAATTTGAAAAAAAATTGATTGCTGTTCTAGCTTCTTTCTTGTACAAGTACTTTAAGTTATAAATGTTCATCTGAGTACTGTTTTATCCCATAGATCTTGATATTTTAAGATTTTATTATGATTTAGTTCAAAGCACTTTTTATTTACTCTTCTTGTGCTTTCTTTCTTGATCTCTGAGATATTTATAAGTGTGCCATTTAATTTTGAAATAGTTGACATGTGGGGATGGGGTTTTATATATCTTTAGGTAATTAATTTCTAATGTAATAAAACATGCAGGAAACACAGTCTGCATGGATTCAAATTTTTAAAAAAGTAATGGAAATGCTTTTTATATTGATTGTGTTACATACATGTCAGAACTGATTAAATTGCATACTTTACATATGTACATTTTATTTTACTGCAATTTTACCTCAATAAAGCTATGGATAAAAGAATAACAGGACATTTTTCTTTAATAATAGCAAGCGACTGAATCTATCTGAACATCAAGTAAGATAAATCCTTTTACTCAAAGCAAAAGTAAGGGCATGTTAAGGAACATTTCCAATGCAATTAAGTCTTTTTCTTTTACTTTATGACCCATGAGATTAAATTACCATTTGTTATTTTTAAATGACATTAAGATTGGCTCTCAAAATCACAGCTTATTTTATTTCCAAAGTCATATAATGGTTACATTCTAAAATGTTATCGATAATAGAAACTTTATTTTGAATACTTGGGAGTGTCTCCTGTAAGCCATGTGGTCCTTGGCATATAAGGACCACTTTAGTTTAGTACTTTAGTTTCCCTAAAGTTAGGTGAGGATATTGAGATTGCTGGAAGGATAGAGTTAGTTAAATGTATAGAGCATTTAGAAAAAAGAATGAGCACTTAATAATACTAGTGACTATATTTCCATTATGGTTACTTTATATATTAAATACATGTCATTCATTCTCCACTGGAATTTCTATTTTCTATTTTGGGAGAAGATACACTTCATTCAACTGTCCTTAAAAGGGAGGGCACTTTCGGATCTATTGATTTGGATGACACTCAAAATCAATACAATTGTCCCTGTTTACTCAGGAGTCCCCTCTGTAGAATTTCTGTGTTATTCATGTCAATTCACTAACACACACTAACTCCTCCATCTGAAGTGAGCCAGAAGTTTGTCAGAACTCAGGAAACTAGAACACTGAATCTACTTTTAAACTGATTATTTACAACAAGGAAAACACAGCACATAGAGGGAGAAACAACTATATGAATGTATTTAAAAAGAAGAAATAAAACTTAGTAATACATGATAGGGATTTTGAGAAAAGGGGAAAATACACCTGATATTTTGTCTTGTGTGTTCTTCATTTTTGTGGAGGTGGAGGAGGGTCAGAGGTGGTTATGCAACCTAAGGAATTGTTATATAATCAGTGCTTTGCACAGGAAAGGTTTCGTAAATCTCTTTCTTTCACATAATCAAAACCAAGAAACCTCTACATCACTGCTATAAGGAAGGTAGAAAACATTTTTTAGACTTATTCATATTTTCAAAGTAACTATTATTCATGCCTAAAATCAATTACTTCAATTTCTGTTGTCCTAAAAGAACTATATTTTTCTTCCTCTGACTCCTGAATGGACATTTCAAGGCTAGCTCAGCTTGCTGCATTTGTCACCCAGGGCTCCTTCCATGGGCTACCAACAAAGACACAGGCTTCAGAGGATTTAACATGATATAAATGGTATATGCAGAAATCAAAACTCTAAGATCTCTGAAATTAGTCACAATTAAGAAGAAATGTCACCCTTCACACTACAGCGGTATCTTGGGCAATTTTTCCTGTAAGCTGTAGTAAATCTTTGAGTTCCTCCACGAATTTAGCTTGAGAGATCATGGCTAGAGGTGCAGGTTCTGGATGGAGATTGCCTTACCTTTCAAATCCTTTCTCTGCTCTTTACTAACTATGTGACTCCTGGGAACTTATCTGACCTTTTCTGAGTTCACTTGCTTTGTCTGTAAAAGGGAGAAATTATAACATCTCCTTAGGGGTATAGAAAGGAGTAAAGGAAGGGAGAAAGAAAGGATATATCAAGGAGAAATGCAAAGAAAGTTAATAAAATTATCTGTTGCATTTTATATGTGAGGATTTCTTGGAAATTTATCTGAAGGTATACATTTCCATCCATTCTCAATTTCCTGCTCCTACTCTTTAGATTCGGTTGTACTGTATTACATCCAAATTAAAACATAAAATAACGAAATGGAGCAGAATAAACATCATGGCTAAAACAAACTAAATTTGTATGGAAATACAGTGCTAAGATAAAAGTCAAAGATGGGAAAATATAGAAAGGGAAAGAGAAACAAGAAAAAATTCATCTGATACCTGAGAATATCATCTAAACTTCCCTTGTAATGCCCTATTTCAGACAATCCATGTTACTGGCTCATCAAAGTCTCAGTGAAAACCAATTCATATGTACATGTGTGAATTCTCTTTACCATATAATAAAGCCCTGGTAAATAAATACATAAATTGAGTTTGACCATATAACCATTAATCATGCAATTCTATCTCTCATTAGAGGCACAAGCTCACAGTTTGTAGATCTCTATTTTTATATTAGTCTCTCTAAGATCAAGCATAAAATGAATAGGCCATTAACTGTGCTTTATTTTTCTCAGAATTAATCTATTAGAGATATGAAACTTAAAATATTTTCACCTGCTTAAGATTTTAAATTGAAAAATTTATATTCACACAAAAAGTGGTTTCTCCTTCTTTTAGTAGAGAAACCGCATGCATTTATGTGTAATGCAGCAATTTGTGTATTTCATGCAATTTAGCGACTCTTTCTTCTGAACTAGAAAATATAGCATCTTTGATCAAACTCTGAACTTTAATGTTATACAACATGTCATGACATTGATGACACATGGGTTTCAAAAGTAGAATGTAGCCACTTCTATGAAATCAGATTTCATGAAATCAAAATGCATATCAGAACTAGAACTCTCCTTGGAGATCTCAGATACAGAGGGTAGACCTCTTTTAATTGCCAGAGGTCTATTCTAATGGCTTTCATTTTTAACACGTTTTCTTTTTAAATAAATAATTTGCTGGAATGAAGTGAGGATCAAATCCAGGCCACTCTGCCATATCATCCCATCATTTAAATTCTGATTCCTCTCCCAAACCTCTCTTCCTTTGCCCATTTCCAGCCTCTGGACTATTACTCTGCTCTCAATCTTTTGAAAGTTTGAAACCCATTATTGAAATGCATCCCTTCTTTTTAAAGTTTAATAAAGTAAAGACCAGAAGAAATAAGAATATTTTCTAAGGCAACATAGTGATTTAGTAGCCAAGACTATAATTTAGATTTCCTGTCTTTTTATTTTGAGTTTTGTAGGATATCCTCCTCCTTTTATAAAGTAGCTGACTGTAAGTAGGTATCTGCTAAAGTATTCCTGAAGTTTTTAAATGATTTTTATATAAATCCTGCATATATGACACTGAACTATATATGGAATTAATTCCAAGAAGAGGCTGTTTTATTCTTACTCTTGTGTTATTTCTTTCAGCTTTAAGTTCAGAGATCTCTTCCTCTTTTTCTAGAAGTTGCTCTCGACAGGCATTCAATTCTTTTGTCAGTGCAGCAAATTCCTGGAAGGGAAATAAAAAAAAAAAAAAGTTTGAAAGGGTATTCAAGTTATCAAAAAATAAAGAGAAAAACTTAAGCAGAAAGAGAAAAATGTAAAATAAAAGCTTTGAGTGAAAAGTATGCAGAAAATTGATTTGGTTGATATATATTGCTATTATGAAAGTATATTGATTTTTTTGTTCAACAGGTACTAATCCATGATACTTATTATGTGCATTTTATTATAATATACTGCTTATATGGATGTATAAAGTGTATTTAAAAAGTATCACATACATCATATTAATATAACTTAGCATTAATATAATATTTATTGCTAGAATGACTTAAGCTTGGCTAATTTTTTGAGTAGCCAATCAAACCTTGCACTTTGGTTCCCAGATAGCAATATTCAGGTTATAGTAGATCATCAAACTAACAACACAAACCCCTGCTTAATGTGCTAGAAATTAAGAATTTTGTTTGGTAACAGGGTGCGGAAAGAGGGAATCTACCTGTCTTACAAAATAATAAATGTATCAAAGATTTGATAAGATTGTCTTGTGAATCTTTGTATTACTGTCTTTCTAAATGGCAAGCTCCGCATGTTCAGTAAGCTTGGCTAGTTCATGTTATACCACCAGCATCTAGGACACAGTGGAAACTCAATTAAGGTCATTTTTCAATAAGTGAAAATGGTTTATATTGTAATAAAAGATTGAAGAGGTCTGGAGTAATCCTATCTTCATGGGCTTACTGAAGAAATCTCTTGTTTTCTTTCCCAAAATGCAAGCACAAAACATGATTAGGAATTCACTATTAGCTGGTGAATTTAAACATGGAAAAGACTGCTTAGAAATACCAGGAAACCTAATTCAACCATTCTGCCACTCTAAATTATAAAAATATTACATAATGTTTTTAAAAAATGGCAAACACATCCTTATTATGATTAAGCCCTTTAGAGTGATTCTCAGTAGTAAAACTGATGCTTAGCAAATATTTAAATATTTGGGGAAACTTAGGTCCAAGCTGAAATGGCATTTTCAGAAGATAAAAAAGAAAAAAAAATATGGGGGAGATAGTCTTGGTTAACCTCCATAATTTGCCTCCATAAAGGCAATTTTAGTAAAAAGTAAATGAATATGATGATTATGCTAAGCTGGGAAAGGTTTGGGGTTTATATTCTTGTTTTCTTCAAACCACTTATTTTCCTCTGTTTCTTTGAATGGCATCAACCCAGTGGGTACTTCAAAGAACTAAGGGTAGACTCCAGGGCTTAGAATTCAGATGAAAGAGTTCGTTGTTACATTCTGACCAGCCTTACAGATGAATGTTTTCTCCCGTGATTGCTGCCTGCTTAAATGTTGTTGATACCCTGAGCATATTATTTAAGTGGAGAATGGAAATGAGCAACAAGTAGAAAACAGGAAATCTTTCTCTAAAAAATGAAACTTTCTTTATACATTACATAATCGGGTTGGAGAAAAGAAGTGACATATAAAGATTCTCTACTGTATGTTGTTAACATAAAGGCATTTAAGAATAATCCTATAGTCAAACAACATAATATTCACTAAGGTACAATGCAAATCGAATCTGTATATTTAAAACCATACCAGTAAATAAACAAACAAATATGTATCAATATATGTTTCTAGGGGTTAGCTTATTGTCTACAGAAAAACAACAACAACAAAAGAACAAATAAATATTTCAGAATTTTCTTATGAGATCTCCAGTGAAATTATGAATGATTTCTGTTTTTCACCTTCCCCTTATATGTTCCCATTATCAAAACTTTGAAAAAAGAAGAAATAGGCTTTTTTTTTTTTTTGCTTACAGAATAAGAGAAAAATATAGAGGGGAGAAATTAATCAAAAGCAAGTGATATTGATAATAGAGAATTTTTTTTTCTCATCATGTCAGATTCTAAGAAGGTCTTTTAATGCCTAGATAGATAGATAGATAGATAGTTTTCATTTCTTAATTTCCTAGCAGATTTCAGGGACTACTTTTACATTTATTACCTTATCTTGCTCTACAGATTCCTAGTAAGGGAATCTCTTTCCCATGAGACTGATGGTGAAGGAAGATGAATTACTAAAATGTGCATCTAAGTTCACAAAGCTACAAAGCCATACAGAGTGAGTTATCTCTGAGCATAATTTTCCATATTGCAAGTTCACTGTTTTTCTACTGTGTCACTTTGAACCTAGTTGTTCATTGGGTTTACATGACTCATTTAGCAGTCTCCATTTGGTAGTCTGAAGTATTAAACAACCATTACCACAATTATATTTCATAATCTCCCTTAATTACTCCACTGAGAGTGTGGGGAGCTAGGAGACCCAAGGCAGAGCAACCAGTGTTAGAAACGCATGTGTTACACATCTGGAGCTATTATAGATGCAGATATCAGATATGGAGACACAGTGGAATTAACCATCGAATATTTTTATAGATATCTTTTGAAATTTTTCTTTTCCATGCCTGCTTCTCCATTTTACTATCAGCATGAAGTAGTATCATCTTGTAAAAAAAATTACTAACACCAAATATATATATAATTAACATTGAGTCATTACAATATACCAGGAACTCTACTAACAATTTGCATCTTGTTAATTTATTATATTGTTAATCCTAATAAAATTTTCTTACAAACTCTAAAATCTCACTGAGGTGTATATAGATAAGGCATTTGTCCAGTTACTTAGTCAATGCTGGAGCTGGGCTTTGAACTCAATTTTTCCTTTATTGAATAATTAAAATCAGGTATGTTCTCCCTCCTGATCTCAGGGTTTTCCCTTCTAAATTTTTCTTCTTTCATTCTTTGTAAAAGTTATCTTGCCAAAGTTCACAAAACATTCAGAGTTTCCTACTATTAAACACATCAAGTTGAACAGACTTTAATTTTCAAAATTCAAACTATCCAAAACAAGTCCTTTAAAAATTAACTATTACAGAATAATAACAACCACCTTAATTTTAAACAGGTGGCATTTTGTTGTTATGCTCTGTGCTAAATATTTAACATGTATTACTTCAGTTTTTATTTTTATTTTTTCAGATGAGGATATCAAAGATTAGTAGGGATGAATAACTTGTTTAAGATCCAAAGCTAAAAATGACCCACCCTGATCCCAAACTTCTTTTACTTCTGCAACACTGCCTCCAACTGGTTGAAAATGGAAAATCTCTTAGAAAATGTATCCTTGCGCTAACTTTCCATTCATACAACAGGTATTGGGATTTGTCACACATCATACCCTAAGCTAGGTGCTGAAGGTATAAAGATAAATTAGAGATAGTTGCTTCACTTGACTTCAATGGGCTTTCAGAATTCACATTTAAGACCCTTCATGGGTTACCTTTCTTAACAAGAACTCCACACCCACCACCAAAATGCCACACAAAGGTTAATACTGTTCAACTATTAATACTATTACCAATGCCTCTTTAAAGCCCCTTATTAGAAATTCCATTTTCTGCAATGGAATTCACTTCCCTGTGTTATTTCTTTCTATTTTATCATATATTTTTTTCTGTTACTCTCACATACTAGCCTAATTCATTTTTTAAAGCTACAACCTGTTTTTGTTAATGCTTTATCATATCTCACTGCATTGGGTTTACAATAATGGAGTTACATGTTTATTTCCTCTAAGTAAACAATATGACCCTTTAAGGCAAAGTTATTTTATTTATAACTCTTAGCATACTGCCTAGAACACTGAATACAAATTCAATAAATTCTTATTGTGACAACAGATGTATGGCTTGCTTTCCCTAAACTCTTCAAATTTAGTGCCAAATAATCTAGAAGGTAATATTAATTAGTCTTCTTACTCTTATGAAGTGAGAAGATTATAATTTGCCTAATATAGAACAGTTATGATGGCTTTTTACTCTGTAGCTGTTGCTTTGTCTGTATCTGAAATACATTCTACTATATTATACATAGCAATGGTATTATTATTTCCCATGTTTTACTACATTTTTGTAAAGTGATACAATGTCTGCCTGAAAAGTGCCAAATTCAACAAGTATTCAGAAAATCCTTTCTGTTCCTGATAATTTCTACAAAGAGGTATGCAGTATGTCACAAAGCTAGGAATAGGCCAGCTTTAGTACTGATACTCATTATCATGAAACCATAATGTTTAGATATAAGTACTGGTGCTGATTGTAAAGATAATAGAATGAATTAGAATATGCATACTTGAAAGAAGATAAATGAGTAGGAAGCAACAATAAAAAAAAATCTATTTCATAGTGCTTTGGGTCTATTCCTCCCTATAGTTTGTGCATTTAGATTTACCATTTGTTCATTGAATATATAACATTAATCTTCTTGATTTGGAAAGTGAATATACATCTTTAACCAATATGTTATTTTCCTAGTGTAGTGTTTTCAAACTATGTTCTTAAAACAGTATTTTAACAAGATTACCAGCAAGCAGCATCCATAACCAAATAAATTTGAGAAATGATATATGTTTTACATTTTGTTCTTACAAATTTACAAACAAGCATGAGAATATAAGACATTTTGAACAAAGCAGGTTTTGTGGCCAAGAATTGAAACAACCTAGATCTTTATCTACAGGAAAACAGACAAATTAATATAGGAACTCCACATAATGAAATATTATACAAAGAACAGAAAAAATAGGCTACATATTTGTATAAAATGGAAATATTTCAACAATACAATTTAAGCAAAAAGGTATAAAACAACCCACCATAAAACACAGAATATTATCAGAACTGAAGTCAGTCAGGAATGGATGTTATAAGAAATATCATTCATATTTTACCATGGTTAAATTTAAAGGAACTCATAGGAAAAGCTGAGTTTGCTTTGAGTAACAGAATCAGGAGGAGTCAATCAAACACCAGCCAAAAACCTTTCCAACAACTTTTCAGACCAGTCATTTTGTTCCCCAACCATAGTTTGCCAAATTCTTACTTGTCCCAAGGAACAAAATTACTTTCTCTACTCTGTACTTTTTTTCCT